AAAGGGTTATATAACATTACAACAAAGGGTTATAGAACATTACAAGAAACTAGATACACACAGGGAGAACTAACAAAGGAATAAAACAAGGATCCATGCTGAGAAAAAATACATAATTATCAAAGGTAAAGTAAACACAAAATGTCCAAGACGTGACAATTCTCAGCTGCACGCTTAGTCCATTCATCCATGTGGCAGCCCAAGGAGAAGGGAAAGACAATAGGGAATAGAACAATGCAAACCTAGGGAAATATCAGGAAAATGGGATGGCCAGCATCACCTGCCAGCCAAACGGGGAGATGACAGACTGAACAGGCAAGACAGAGACCAATCTTGATAGTCTACAGTTCACGGAGAATGAAGAATATGGCTTTTTTTTGTAGCTGAAAACACCTTGTTAGTGAGTGTGGTCAGTGGAGAATAGCCAGTTCTAAAGCTAACAGAAAGGCCACTGCAGTGCAAAACCAGCAACATAGGTGTGCAGAAAACCTTTTCCTTTTCAATTAATCCACCTTTGGGGGGTTTCTGAAGGCAAAGTGGGTTCCACCCGGTGTTATGTAGTGGTATCTAACGTGGTGGCCACTGAGTGCATGTATTTGCATGGTAAATGTATTTACTGAAGAATTTACCAGAGTGGATCCATTTACTATATGTTTTTATCTACCATTCAGCGTTATATGATGGGTGTATTTAAAGTAGTTTCCTTCTCAATATATGCACGTGGAATAACAAGCCAAATAGATGCAGAAACACTGAGATTCATGGGATCCCTTTAGACTGCGATTCATGGGACCTGGTCACAAACAGGTATTAAAAATCCCACGAAGAATTCGGCTTGGCTCCTTGATGCCATCTATAGCTTCATCCTGTGTATGATGTCCGGTTGGAGGGCACGAATCACCTGAAAATTATGCTTGCTTTGATAGTCAATTGATCTTGTAAAACTGCTTTGGTTTAAATCAACATGTTAATGAAGTCATTCAGGTGAGGTTACATCTCTGTCTTATTATTGAATTACGGTCTTATTTGCACACTGACCTTGACGTCTGGTGTTCTCCTTTTAACTTTTTTTGCTGAAGTCAAATCTTCACTCATTTCCCCCCTTTGCTTTTCCCTCCCGTAATAAGTCTTACACGCAGCTGTATCTCGGTTAACACAAGCGCTGTAATAACTTGTTATATAGACAAGCAGCTAAGGTCGTCCGCTTTGTATTGTTACCTCGGCAGGAATATTTGCAGTGCAATGTGTACCGCTGTTACCAAGGGAACCCTTGCTTGTGGTAACACGTTTGCACCATGGGTGGCGTTGTTGCCCCGCACCTCCCGCACTACACGTGTGAGTAGGCTACTATCCCTGTTTCCAGCATCCCATTTGAATGAATAGTATTCCTGCAAACACGGGATTTACTTTATTTCTTGTGATCATAATGGAGGTTGTAGTGTATTCTGTCAGCTGTTATATAACACATGTAGCATCCTTATAACAGATATAACGGCCATGTTGCAACGGTGTAAAAGTACGGGTTTAACCTCCACAGAAATGTGTTTCTGGCTACAGGCCTGTCATATAATCCTGATTACTGGACGGGCTGGCTGACTTCTACCTGACTCCTTTGCTAATCCCTTTAATTTAAGGGTTTATGTCTCCTCCACAATACTTTTAAAAATCTTTTCACGTGTTACGTTATTTTGACATCGATTGCATTGGTGACATAGTGCTCACAAAAGGTTGATCGCTTCTGGCAAGGAAAACAAGATAAGCTTCCCGTCGAAGGTGGGTGGCGGGGCGGGTCATATATCTGGTATATTGCATGTGGGATCTGAATCGCCGTGTTGTCCTCTGTAAAGGAGAGTGCTGCAGTTTAGGAAACACCAGTCTAACCAGTCCAACGTGCTTTTCAGGGGTATAGGTATATAGCCTTATATCCCTTATACGCCATCTATAGTTAAATTGCAATGAACCGTAATCGTTACACTAAACCGAGGTTGAAATAGCACCTGTACACGACTCAACAGCAACAGCAAGAACAACAACAACAACAATATCAAATAACAATAATATTAAATAATAAGATGGAGTAAGAAGTATTTTGTTATTAATAAAATTATTAAGGCAAGAGCTTTTAATTATTCGATCGCTTGAATTTTTTAAAAAAATGAGGGGAAAAGCCGCAAGATTAAAAGATCCCGTCATGTGCATCATTCCCCACCCAGCACTCATCATCACGGCGTGTTGGCTTTCACATGACGGGTAAACATGCCATTTAAGGCAGACCTCGCAGCAGCAGGAGCCCCAGCGCCATCCCGTCTCCTGTGATGTGCATGTGCGCTCTCTCTCCGGGTTATGGTGGCATCGCGGGGGCCGCTCGTGAAATGCATGGGAGGCGGGCAGCCCGCTGACTGCTGAGCAGAGGAGAAAGGGGGATCGCACGGGAGACATGGCCTCTAAAGAGACAGCCGTCCCCTGCTTTGTCAGTGTGAGCAGGGAAATGACAGGTAGGACAAGGCGCATATAGAAAACGGATTTTTTCCCCCCATTCTACGCCGCAATCATTTTCCCTTAAAATGCAGCGCAGCGCGATATTAATCTGGCGTTTTCACACGTCCAGTATTTCAGAAGTGTGTGCATGCATGCATTTTACATTAGATAACTTGCTATATATGCAACAGTGATTTCTGGCCGCGATTTTTTTTTTACGTTGCCGTATTTGTTTTTTCATTTTTTTCTCTATGCAATCACATACAGCTGCAAAGTGTAATAATCCATGCTCGGGCCTTTTGAATCGCTATTCGTCACTCACACTTTGATTTCTGTTGCTTTACACATCAGCAGATCAATTCATTAGTCCCGTCGCTGCACATTAATGCAGCGCTGTCCTCTATATTGGCGCGCCTATCTCGGAATCGCGTGTAATTACACATGGTTTATTTCATTACCATTCAGTGTTTGTCGGTTCGTGTGGCATCGCGTGCACTCATGGGCGATGCATCTGTGCGTGTTATGCAAACTAAAAGCACGGCATTTTCCTCAGCTGTGCTGTACGCCAGATGCTGATGGCAGCGCAGGGAGCCCCGGAACATCTTACGCCCGCAAGTGTGGGTCTGCGGACGCGTTTCACTCCCATACGGCGATAGCTGCCGCTTAGGCGCTCATTCACGCGAACAGACACTTTTATGCCCGCTGATACGTACGAGACACGCTATCGCAAAGGCGGCGGCGCGCGCGTCAGGGAGCGGTCTTTCCGCGGTTAATTATTCCAACAGAACCCATTAGCAGCTTCCACATTATTAATAACGTGGATTCGAGTCCTTTTCAATTTATTTGCTAGCCCAGGATGCCTTTTCAGACGCAGCACGCGTGTGCACGCACACACACACACACACACACACACACACATATATATATATATATCACTCTCTGCATTCCCACCACCCTTCCTTAATGTGTAGGAAGCGTTCACCCCTATCCCCTTCCTCTGCCACACTAAGAAACGGCTGCAAGGTTTTTTGATTGGGGTTTCCTGAGATTAAAGTTCATTACAGCTGCATGCATTTTGCTGTTTTTCTTTCAGTAAGACCCCCCCCCACTACACCCCCTGCCCCCATCTCGCTTGCTGAGATCCCTTGTACTTGGGAGCAGGGATTCTTGTGTATTTGTTTCTGCCAATGTGAGGACTTTGTGTAATCTGTGGTAACATCTTGGGTAACTAAGATACAATGAATAAGTTAATGTTTGAGTGCAGGTCTAAGAACTGCTTTGAATGGTGCTACTTTTGGAAGTGATGCTGTAGTGTGTTGGCGAGTATTTATGATGACCTTGCGGAGCGTTAGAGTCTGAACCTGTGTAGCATCGTGTTGGCTTGTGGGCATATGGATGGAAAGCTTACAGGCTCCTGGAGGAACAAACTGACTTTTCCCCACAAGACTGAAAGTGATACTTGGAAATACTACATCCCTGACATGTGGGGATATAGCAGAACAGCCTACAGTTGCATAGTGTGATTATTGTTGTTTGCTAATAACAAATAATGGAGATGTCACCAGATAAATTTCCATTGTGACCTCTTGTCTACTGGGTGGCCAGTCAAAGCCAATGGAAACACAGTGAGCTGTCATTCCTCCAAGTATGACACATACAGCTTTGAGTCACGTGTTCCTGATTGTGCCAGTCACACAACCTCACAGAAAACCTCACAGACGGCTCGCATGGCTCCAAAAACATACCTCCAAGGATCTTGGAGATTTCTGGCTTCGTCTCCATGTGTCTAAGAATGCTCACGTATGACAATGTATTAGCGTGTTCTCCAGACCTCTGCCCATCGTACAATTCAGTATAGACTTTCAGTCATTTCTATTGTGATTCACCGAAGCCTCACTTAATATCGGTGTCCAGAAATAAATCAGAGCACAAAGAAATGCTATTGACTTATAAATAAATAATACAGGTATTACTTCTGAAAAATAAAAATATACGCAGCTCTGAGAGCAAAAAAAATCCATAAGTTTTATATGAAGAGCCAACAATACTTTGAGAAGATATTTGCCAGTCCAATCAATTCAGTTAATGAAATCATATCGTTCAATGATATAAGGAGTGTTTTTCATACAATAATACAACAGTAATAGGGATATATACCTAGATATTAAAATTTCCAGATAAAAATAGCTGATTTTTAAAATGTATTTTTAGCTGATTAGCATAACTCGAAAGTGATATAAGGGAAGTGTTTTGTGATATCAGAATGTACAAAAAATCTCAGCATTTGTTATTTATTTCTGGAATGTTTAATGTATGCTCTGTCACTGTGTGCATGCAATGAGGTCTGTGAAGAGTGAGTATGTATTTTATCTATAGGGGGATTATGATGGAATAGCCATGGATATAGTGAGTGGAATTTTGCTTTTGAGTTGAATTGAGTTGAAGTATTTTTGCTTTTGTTTTGTCGTTTGTACAAACATATATTCATATATATGTATAGTGTGACATGGCGCGAGTACACGGACTCTGCATGCACATGTGAGTTTAGCGATGCCTCTGCTTCTGCGAACAGACAGCCTCTGGAGGATCATCGACAGATCGACGGTCAAGTTCGCCCGCGGCATCAAGCTGGACGTCAAAAGCGGCAAGTCGGAGGACAAGATTCTGGTGAGGACGTTCTTCTGCTTTTTCAAGCATTTGTGTTTTATTCTGCAGTCTGGAAAGATGAGGCAAGGTGGGGAGTGGACATCCTGGGGCAGGGCACAGTCAGGTGATGGGCCCTTCATTCATCACCAGTCACTTATCTAATGACAGCCTGATGTTTCCCCCCCAGACAGACCTGGCTACACGTTCCATTGTCATGCCCTGACTTGTAACTTCACCTCTTGATTTATTTCTTCCTGTTGGTTCAGGGACATAGTGCTGGTGTCAGCATTATTAGGGACCAAATTAGCTCCAACGCCCCCCCCCCCCCCCCACACACAGTACTCCCACAATATTGATAGGGGACCTGTCCCTACTGTCCATACCCAAATCTACACACTTGTGTTATCCCCTTTTTTTTTACTAAACCTCCAAAAGCAATTATTTTTATTTCTTTCTTCCAGTTTGTTAACTTCACGAAGAGCAAGAAAGTCTCTGTTCAATCCTCCACTTCTTGCTTCACTTGAATGTGATCGCCTTCCGCCGGTCTCGTAAACATGTACATAAACTTTCATAAGACCACATTTATGAGATGGGATTGGTGGTGTTTTTTTGTTCATTAAGTTAACTGGCTCATGTAGTTTTAGTGTTATAGATGAGAGGATGGTTTTTAATGGAGGTTCAGAACTGAGCACTGATTGGCTGATTGAGCCATATGTAGAGGTGCATCTGACAACAGGGATACTAAAATATTACTATGAACCAAGAGTTTTTGCCGTTGTCTTTCATTCCATAGAAGCACCACAGGGCCAGAGTAAAAGCCTTTGCATGCAGCTGCAATACAAGTACATTTTTTTTCAGTTGCTTTTTAGAGCTTGGTTTTCTACCACTGATTGCCAAGGCAGCCTTGATTAAACAAGAGGACTCTGTCTCTCCTTTACAGTTTAGTCAAAGCTAGTATAGAGGCTGGAGATGTTTGTGTCCCCAGTGTAAAGAAGAGGTCCATAGTCCTTAAACACTGTGTCCATGCAATCGCAGTGCATACACAGGGTGACTTCTGTCCATGGTCCTGAAATCACAGACAGGGATGAGGGCTGTCCGTGGTCCTGAAATCACAGGCAGGGGTGAGGGCTGTCCACGATCACTGCTCTCTGCGTTTCTGAAACATTGCTATGCTGCTTCCAGTGATCCTGAAGCACGTACAGTTTGGCTGCTGTCCAAGGTGCTATAGCTAGTGATTTGCGAGCGCTGCTGTCCGTGAACCGGGGGGTTTGTGGGTGAGCAGTCGGCTGTCTTTGGTGATGGGGGAGGGGATTCTGGCTGCTGTCAGTGGTCCTGAAAGTACTTGGACGCTTCTGCCTTTGCTGGACAGGTCGAGCTTAGTGTGCGGTCGATGGCACTGGAGTAATTATTGGGTGCTGCTCATGATGCTGTCAGATTATACTGGGTGAGTGCTATCCAGGTAGGGGTGTTTCATTTTCAATGGGGGAGGGGCAGGAAGTGATGTCAGTTTAAGGTCTGCCTTGCAAATCACTGATTGCCTGATATCCAGTGACCCCCACCAGTAGTTTAAACTACATCTTGCCCTCTTCCTTCTCATTTCTTGTTCTCCTTTTCCTCTGTTTCTTTGTCTGTAGTTGGGTTTTGCTATCAGTTAAAGTATATCCTTGCTACTTTGTTATGTCAGTGGTACTTTCTTGTATTATCCGTGCTGAACAGTTTAAGTCTTTACCTCCTTGGTGTTTTAATTTTCTCTTTCTCTCACTTTTCCCCCCCGAAAGTTAATTTAAATAAGGTTCTTCCATCTGATGAATGATGAGTTCCACTTACAGTAAGGACAGATCTGGCTGTGCCAATGTACAGTTGCATCAGACTCTGCATTATTAATAAATTGAATTTATATGTAAAGGAAATAAATCAAAGGGAAACGAGAGTTGTGAGCTGAATTCCTGGGAATTTTTATTAACAACAACCAGGACTGGTCCACTTGGTTTGGTCTTATTTAAAGATCTGAGCATGGGGACAAAGTGGTTAATTTTTGTTCCTCATCTGACCAGCCATGAATCCTGCCTAGTACAACACTGGAGCTCTTAGTAGTTATTGTGTTAACTGTGAAATAAGTCGTTGAGGTTTTCCACAATATCAGAGGTCTAGAAATAATTCTGCAAGCCCGATGCTATACAGATATACTGGGAATACAAAATTACTGGGAAATGCTATTTTAAGCACATATTTCCCATATAATGACCATCCATTAAACAGCTACCTCTGCCGTGATAGTTTCAGATGATTGTAGTCCTGCTCACCAGCTGTTTGTCTCAGTATCTGGCTGGTTATTGACCATATCCTCTGTTTACTTTTTAACTGTGTTTGTATCTCGCACGCATTCATGTCGTCCACCCAGTATAGAACCTCCCTTGGTGGCTTTTGTTCTCCAGTCACCCCATTAGGTTTCGTCAGGCGATCATTGAACCTTTTTAGGGAGGTAATTGTAGGTGTTTTGTTTTCCCTGGCAATTCTGCCAGTTGAGCCACTTTGAGGACAAGTGGTGTAATTAATTTTAATTAAAAAAAAAAACGACTGAGAAAATCGCCACTATTGAAGATGAGTTGGAGTAAAACAGGATTATTCGTTTGGCTTTTAATTCAGAATTTAATTTAAATCCAAAGAAGTTCTGGAATGTTCAGAAGAATGTATTTTATTCAAGGGAGCACCGGAGACCTGGTTGTGTCAATGCAGCCCTTGGGGACTGACTGTGTTAATAATCAGCTGTACATTAAGTCCACGTGTCTCTTTGAAGCACGTTGGTCCCTGATCCTGTTAATAATCAGCCAGGAGAGGAAACTGAAGCTTGTTAACGATCCGTCACCAGTCAGCATGAGTGCTTCTCACCGCTGCGCCCGATTTGTGTCTCTTTGAGGTGACAGCCTTTCGGGGTGGGGGGGTGGGGGGGGGTTCCCCAGCCTCAAACTCCTACCCCCAATGGCAAACATGTCCCAGTTTCATCTATAATCCAGCAGCATGTTTCCAATTGCCATCCACATCCAGTGTTTCGTTACCACTTCCCAGATGTGCTTTGATGTCGTTCCGAAGACCGTCTCCTCCGTTTCAGACTTCTGAAGACCTCACCGCGGGCTGTGGGGTGGCGAGCACTAAGAGGGAAAATCAGGACTCCCCCCCTCCCCTGACAAAATTAATAAATAAACCGATAAAATAATGAATTAAATAGGAAACCCTCGTAGGAGTGCGGTACATGAGAGCGGGTGCCCCCCCCCCAATGGGGTTATTTAAGATCTGGAGATCAGAGATGACAAGGAACAGAGGAAGAGAACAGAGACGAGCAGAGGGCTGGATTAGGAGAGGAAAATAGGCATATGGGGGGGGAGGGGGATTAAGCATGCGGGAATGTGGGAAGGGAGCAGGGAGGATGGAGAGGTTACAGGTAACCAGGAAGAACAGAGGCACATTTCCATGGCCAGAGTCACTGAGTGGTCAGTGGCGCCCCCTACTGTTTTATATGATGGTGTAAGTTGTTGTCGTGAGGGGATGGGGGGTAACTTTTATTAAACAAGTTTAGTTGAGGCCCCTTTTTACTGAGCCCCCTGCACATCCAGCTGAGTAAGCCCGAGCACGAAAGCACCCCCAAGAAAGAGGATAATATGTACATTACTGTGCGAATGAAATTGGCTTTACAATTTATTTATGTAGCAGACAACTTCATCCAAAGCAATGTGTCGTTGAGAAAGCAGGGTAGGCAAGTCTGTAGAGCTGGGAGCTGGGGGATTAGGGGCCTCGCTTGGGGGCCCGATGGCAGAATCAGTCTGCTGAGCCTGGGCTAACAGCTGACATCCTTCCGATCACAGGCCCAGCATGGAGACCCGCTGAGCCACACAGTGCTTCCATGGATATGTCACGTCCTCTGAAATAGTTACACATTTATTCATGTATGCCATGTCAAACAGTGTGTGAACCTATAATTACAATTATTAATATATCCTCACCCACTCACTGGAGAGCAAAAACAGAGTCTTGAAATGCTTATTTCTTCTTGTACAAGCTTTGAAATGTGACAGAGAGAAGGAACGATATATGCATTTATGTTAGTGCTTTATGTTTTAATGGTGAAACAGGGTGATGCAGAATGATAGGGTATAGAAATTGTAGGCAGAGAATTACATAGAGAAGCATGGGGAAAAGATAGAGATTAAAAAATTAGAAATGAAAATTTGACTCAGTTTATGCGGAGCTTCGTTCTGCTGGAGTTCATCCTCCCTGTGCTTTTCTTAAAAGACACACAAAAATAAGCAAATTCATTATATAAGCTGCTGTGTAGTCTATGGTACACGATGTTCATATTGCGGCTATTGTTATTCTTGTTGTTATTCTATCGTGCGTTTTTCCCAGACCTGCAACGCTCGGTCTCAAGTATCCTGTTGATTTCCGAGTGTTTGTACTTTACAGTAACACACAGAATTATTGAACTGGGATATTTTGTATTTCAGCAGTAGCTGTGAAATGGGCCCCCCACCTCTAGAACTGTGGGGTCAGGTTTTGCCCCCGGCCTGCGTGTAGAGTTTTAAATATTTCCTACAGGTGTTCTGGTTCCCAGCCCAAATGCATGCGGTTAGGTAAATCAGTCCCTGTGTTAGTATTGGTCTTATCCAGAGTGTCCTCAGCCATCTGCTCTGTCCATCCAGGAATAGACTGCAGGCTGGCATGACCCAGTAGATGTGGAAGGTGCTGGATGGAGTTGTTGAAGAATATGATCCTGCCATATGTAGGTTGAAGATCTTTTACCATCAATCATCTGGCTTTTGTGAGATTTCTGGGGACCGTGTCTCGTCCATCTGCTGTAGAGGCTCGCCCAGCCTCCTCCTCTTAACGTGCACGCACACACACAGCCACGCGTTTGCTCCCAGTGCCGCTGGTCAGCCATACTTACGCAATCCTTCAAAGCTGCTCAGTTAGTCAGCGACCTACTTTGTAATGCAGAAAAGTCATTTTCCCGTGTTAACGAGCGCGTCTGCCTCGTGCAGCCCAGATGTTGTGCTGAAAGTTCACGTACCGCAGAATCTTCGCGCAGAAATGCACGCCGGTTACCAGGCGACAGCGGGGCAGCTGAACACTGTGCTTTTCCAGATGCTTCTCCTACATGGTTCTGTTTGGACGTGTGAAAGTACTTTTGTGCTTTTCCTCTACCCCTTTCACAGGCTTTGGTTTGCTTTCCTTTCACATTTTCCTTTTATTTACATTTATAATAATCATTATTATAGAAACAATAAGAATGAATAAAAGAGCGAAAGGGAGATTTTAAGAAATGACCTGATTATGATGAATTGTGGTGCTATAATGCAGTGACCCCGACTATAATGCAGTGACCCTGGCTATAATGCAGTGACCCTGGCTATAATACAGTGACCACGGCTGATCTCCCTGGGTGTATTTTCAATTTTTCTCCCATTTGTCAGACAGCTAGATTCATTGAATCTTTTGGGGCTTGTGTTGTTTTCTCCTCTCTCTTGCCATCTCAGGTTCTTACGACGTGGAGATTCTACATTCTGGCCGCCAAGGTCCCAACCAAGGTGAGAAACCCGGCCGCATCTTTTCAGGCTTGCCTCCTTGGCAGGAGAGGAAGACGAGATTCCCCTCTAACGCCGCCATCTCCCTCGGCATCTCCAGGTGGAGCTGACCTTCAACTTTTTGGAGATTCGAGCCATGAACGCCTACCCTGAGCAGCAGGTGAGAGAGGGCAGGTCTGGACCGGCCGTTGGCAGCACCCGGAGATTTCCCGGTGACTTGGCACACTGTGCAGAGCAGACTGTTAAACGATCAGCCACTTTAGTGCAAAAGGCGCATGCAGTCTGGCCCTGCGCATTACGGGAGCATCCAAAAAGCTGTAGCCCGTTTTCGACAAATATTATTTTATACCCCTCCCAACCACAACCCCCCTGGCAAATTTCACCGTACCCTGTCTAACAGGAGCCATCGTTATGAGATAGGGCAGTTTTTGCCCATCTGCTTTAATGCTTGGAGACTTTTTCTTATCTCCTATTGCTGGGGTATTCTAACATAACGGAGAACTCATAAGTCTGAAAGCCATATGTGTTGTGAGCTTTGTGATCTACAGTAATTGTAGTACGCAGTGCATTTTGGGATACTGAGTCCAACAGAAGTGTGTGTGAGATGATAGGAAGTGTTATCAACAAGGCATGAACCTCCGACTCAATTATCTATTTTTTTAGTAGAAGATATAGCAGAAAGCATGCCTCTGGTGTTTTTATGACAGCGTGGCACGTCTGTCCCGCTCAGATCGTCATAGACACGGACAGAGCCTCCTATTCCCTGCACCTTCAGACGCGCGATCACCTGGACCACGTCATGAACTACATCAGCTTCGCTCTCTCCCGCATCTTCAACAACTCTATTTTCGCGCAAGTGTCTCTGCCTTTCCGACGCAGTGCAAAATTTGGGATCTGAGCACAGGGAGAGAATGCAGTCAGATTACATAAATCTGAGATGGAATCACCCTGTTCCAGCTTACATTTAAGTTTTTGAGGATTTTGTAAAAGGAAAACAACAGACTTCATCAGCTCTAGCGTTTTCTAACTTACACACTATATGCTTATGTTATTATCTCATATAATTTTAATTTATATTTAAGATACAACATATCTGTTTAAATTGTTACCTGAAACTGAATCGTTGCTTATGAGGAATGAGGCGGAAATGTGAACAGAAGGACCACTTTCAGCATGTGCATCTGACAGATGTACAGTGACATTTTCACTGAGTGTGTCTTGGCACCACGGTTTCTTAATTAACTTCTTTTTGCAGGGCCTAAATTAAATAAATTGTCTCTTTCCTTCTACAAGAGTTACTGACATGAAGATCAAATCAGATCCCCTCTCGTTCTTGCCATTTGATTTAATTCATTTAATCTCAGTTCATTTTTGTTAATTTCACTTGAGATCAATTCAAAAGTGCATCAGTGAGTAAGTGCGTGATTTTCCAGAAGTGTTCATACATTCTTTTCATTAAAGTTTCGTAGCTCCTGTCTTCTCTCCCACTCTCTTACGCCGTTTCCGTCTTCTGTAGTCCCTCAGTCTGTCGGTCAGAAGATGACCTGTCCAGCGGGAGCCAAAAATTCTCACCCAGCTCAGAAACATCTGTGGAGACGCAGAGAGCCTGTGGTGAGACATTGACACACACACACACACACACACACACACACGCACACACACACACAACATGTGCGCGTGACAGTTAGCTATATTCTGTATTTTAGTACAGTGCTCCCTTGCTTCATAACCAGACTGATTATTCGTATTAAACTCTTTGTTTAAAAGGTATTATTACCAAAGTTGGCTTAGTTTTGTACATTTTTTCCCCTCCCAGGGGGGTTTTCGGAGACGTATGCGGCTCTCTGTGACTACAATGGAATCATCTGCAAGGAGGAGGTCCAGTGGGTGAGGAGAACAGTGTGTGTGTGTGTGTGTGTGTGTGTGACGATGGCTGTGCGTAGACTGATTTGTCATTTTTTTTTTTTATCACTGTTACTTTAGTCATTTCTCAGGTTTGGTGTCAGCCAGC